ATCCAAGAAGAGATCTGGAACTAGGGAGATCTCTAGAGACCTACAAGGATGGCATGATCTGACAATCCAGGCAACGATGGAGAGGATAACCTAAAAGCCTGACCCCTAAAATGAGATTGATGACTATTCTTTATGCCTTCCTAGAGCCCTCATCCAGTGGCTGATGGAAGCAGAGACAGACATCCACAGATATACACTGAGCTGAAATCGGGAATTTAGTTGAAGAGAGGGAGCAATGAAGATCTAAGGAGTCTGTAACAGGTTGGAGAAACCCACAGGAACAGTTGGCCTGAACAAGGGAGAGCACACTGACCCCAGATGCTGTCTGGGAGGCCAGTACAAGACTGATCCAGACCCCTGAACATGGAAATCAACAAGGAGGCCTCTGCACTCCAGGAAGCCTCTGGTAGTGGATTAGTATTTTTCCCTGGTATAAGAAGGGACTTTGAGAGCCCATCCAATGTGAGGGGATACATTCTGGCCCTGGACACATGGGGAAGGGCCCAGGACCAGCACAGAAAATTGTGTAGGTTTATATAAAATATATAAAATAAACCACTATTTCGTGGAAATGTTAAAAAAAATTGAAAAATATAAAAATTAATGGTAACACCAGTAAGCAAAGCACTACCATTCTTTATTTTGTTTTGGGTTTGGTTTGGTTTGGTTTGTTTTTTTTTGAGACAGGGTTTCTCTGTATTGCTTTGGAGCCTGTCCTGGAACTAGTTCTTTTAGACCAGGTTGGCCTTGAACTCACAGAGATCCACCTGCCTTGCCTCTGGAGTGCTAGGACTAAAGGTGTGTGCCACCAACGCCCAGCAGCACAGCCATTCTTAATGATAATAATGCAAATTAATACGACCCTTATAACTTAACACATTTAAAACACTCCAAGAAAGTTTATAGGGAATATTATTTTTAACCTTTATTATATTTTTGTTTATATATGGTGTGTAAATGTGTGCATGGTGAGGTGAGGCTGGAGGGTACAAGCATGCCATGGAAAATGTGAGTGAAGGTTAGAGAACTTTTGGATTCTTTTCTCTCCTTCTAGGGTCCCAGGGATCCATATCAGGTGGCTAATCTAGACATAAGTCACTTTTATCTGTGCAGTCATATCTGTCCAGCCCACCCAGCAAAAGATATATTAAATAAGAAAATAGACAAATCAGGGTGGTAACTTTTGGTACTTGAGCCTAAAGGAGTCGGGGTGGGAGCTTTTATTTGCTACTGCAATAATGTTTGCAGATATTAAACAATGTTATTTTGAAATAATGTGAAGTGACTTTAAAAGGCTGCCTGCTGATTTGACTACAATTCTGGCAGTGTATAGAGCACCTTAGTTCTTCTCATGATCTCCACACTTAGAGAACTAAAATGGCTAAACATTCTATTTCATTTTTAATCATTCAGATACTAAAACTAGGTCTGCCAGCCAGCAGGCCAGTCTTGCTTTCTATCAGCATCTGTCAAATCCTAGTGACTTTGATATTCTGATTTGACAGCTGCCTAGGGCCATTCCACCAAGGAGAGAGAAAATAAAGCCCAAATCCCCCTGAGAAAAATAAAATGGAAAACCAACATTAAACTGGAGGCCCAAAGGTGCATAATCTTTTATCACAGTATGTGGGTAAAGAGGGGACTGTCTCAGTGTGCTGGGTGGAGAGTAACAAGAAAGAGACTAAACAAATTTCCCTTGAGAATATGTAACCACAGTTTTCACAAATATTTCTAGTTAGAAAATCCTCAAGCTGAGAAACCTAAATTATTTAAGCTATAAGTTAGAAATATCCTAAGCAAGATCAGAAGCGAAGATAAACTCTCTCTGGGGACACTCAATATCAAAGTGGTCCTTACAAAATTCCCACAAATAAACTTCCAGGAAATACACATCCCAAGGCAAATATCACAACAAATCATGAAAAACTGCCAACCAGAACTAGAAGCAGCAACAAGCATCAGAATCCCTCAGAGAGAGAGAGAGAGAGAGAGAGAGAGAGAGAGAGAGAGAGAGAGGAGAGGGAGAGAGAGAAGGAGGAGGAGGAGAAAAAGAAGAAATAATGAATAACACATATAATATTGAAGGAAGTTTGGAATCA